TAGCTTAGCTGTAGAGGGCTCAGCATCACTGCCCCTCATGTGGGATCCAAACCGGTACCCTGCTGCTCAGAGCTGGCATCCCAAGCCAACCCTTAACCAATGTGCCACTCGGCCGGCCCACCTTTGGTCTTTAATGATACATTAAATAACATTGAAAGTTATCGCATCAGTATACTTTGGAATAATTAGCATTCCTTGATGGTTTCTTTATATTTAAAAAAAAGCTAGTATTCTTATCCACATTTAAAAAAGTACTGACAGGGCCAGCCGAGTGGCGTGTTGGTTAAGAGTTGGCATCGGGCGCCAGCTCTGAGCAGCAGGGCCCCGGTTCAGATCCCATATGAGAGCCAGTGACGCTGCGCCCTCTACAGCTAAGATGGTGAACAACAGCTCAACCTGGAGCTGGGCTGCTGTGAGTTGCTGGCGATGGTGTAGGCTGCAGTGGGGCTGGCTGGCAGCAGGCATGAGCTGCAGTGAGCTGCCAGTGAGCCACAGTAAGCGGCCGTCCGATGGCCGGCGAGTGACTACTTTACCCAGAAAGAGCGCAATGATAATACCAACATGGGCCAGTGAAGCAACGTCCTCCACAACTAGACTGAAGAACAAAAGGACAGCAACTTGTCTGTTCCCCTTTCCCAATTCCCCAATAAAATCTTAAAAAAAAAGGGTACTGGCAAATTTTATAAGTATTCAGTGGGCATTTCCTTTGCTAGGTACAGGGCATTATTTAATTATTGAATAATTATTAAATATTTACAGTGTGTTTACACTATATTGGGTCTCTGAGAATGTACAAACAATATAAAAAATGTTGCTTTTCCTTGTGTGAACGCGGGCCAGGGGTAGTGTTGGTAGCCTGGGATTCTGCCATTCTCAGTTTCCTTCCTGTGACTGGGTTTGTAAATCTCAGTAAGACTGGTTCAGAAAACACAGAGCTTTTCCTGGATCTTACTTTAATTTGAGGTAGAAGGAGCATTTCTGTGGCTCTCTAATCCAGTTGTACTAAAAACAGCCCCACAGTCCAAAAAAAGGAAGGGAGGGAGCAAGAAAATCAAATAACAAACACTCAAATAACAACTAAAATACTTTCATGGAGCTCAACTTCTCATTGGTGAAATGAGACGTATAAAGATAAGGTAGTTATTTTTCCTTTCTTCGTCTATCTCTCTTCTGTCCTTTTTAACGCCACATTTTTTTATTCCCTCCACTATCATTAAATCTTGAAAGAATACCTTCTCCAAGTACAAACACTATGTGCAGTTCCATTTCCTATCATCACTAAATTGTTTCAAGGACCTCTTCAGCCCAGTTTCTAATGGTTGGTAGGTAATAAAAATGGTACTACCTCCAAAATATTCTAGAATTTGATATTTTTACTATTTAGTTTGCTCTTCCATTTAATTTGTTTTGTCAGTTCCTTGGTAGATAATGCAAAGAATAATGCCCTATGTTTACATTGTACTGTAAAGTCTCAGTGTGATCAGTGACATATTTATATATTGCTTGTGCTAGATGAGTTAGCCTGTATGTATCCAGACTTCATTTCCAAGCTTCTTGACACTTTCTGAATTTCATTTCTTCTTTAATTATAGAATCTCATGATTTGAAGGAACCTCTGATGAACATTTATTGTGCATACTTATGGCTCAAACCAAATGAGATATAAAGGTTTAATTTATACAGATGGCGAAGACAAGACTCTTATTTTTGAAGTATTTAATAATTTCACTAATTTCAAGATGTATTGTAATTATCATATCTGCCTGCGCCATGCGTTTGTATCTATATTTAATAGTTTTGCATCCTCACAAAAATCTCTTATGATAGAGTAGATAGTTTTTATTTTACACACAAGAAAATTATTACTTAAAGAAATAAATCTGCTATCCCAATAAATAAACAGCAAGGATCAACACAAAGACTTAAAATCCATTCTAATGCTTCCAAATTAACTGATTTTGCCACTTCATATTGGCTACCATGCGGTACTACCAACTGAGAACATAAGTTAGTACTAAGCCATGTGCTACCACCTGTATTAATGAGTCCAAAGAGAGGAAAAAGAAAGGCTTGGTCTCTCATGGGATAAAATAAGTTACAAAAGTCTTTTTAGAGAAACTAAAGTTTTCATCAGGACTAGGAGGAAAATAGTGGATTTGTGTTGGTTGATGAGAAAATTTGTGTAGGAAAAACAACATAAGCTATGAGAAGAATGCTCAAAATTTTAATGGGTAATGATTATAAAGGAGCAGAGAAGCTGTGTTAAAAATACCCATCAAGATTTAGATAGTATTAATAAGATTTTGTATCCTAGTCTTATTTTTGCATCTCAAGTGTGATAGGGAAGCACTTAAGAATTTAAACAGAGGAGTTATATTATGAAAAGGAAGTGAATATTCTTTAAATGCTAAAGATCTGACTTCCACCATTTAATCTGTCTGCTATTTTTATTTTTTCACAGATGCCTTTTGTTAGATTGAGGTTTTCCTTCTGTCTTTAGTTTACTGAGAATGTGTTTTGTTTTATTCCATGAATGGATTTGAGTGTTGTCAAATGCTTTAGCTGCATGCATTGATCATACTGCTATCCTTACTGTAAATTTGGTGGACTTCATTAATATTTTAAAATATTAAACATGGCATTGTATTCTTGGCTAAGCCCCATCTGATTATGATGTATTGCCTATAAATATATGGCTAAATTAGATACATAGTTTCCTTGAACAACACAGGTTTGAACTTCACAGGTCGATTTATACGTGGATTTTTTTTCCCAATAAATATACCATCATTCCTGTGTATCCTTGAGTTTCCACATCCATAGATTCAACGAACTACATATCAAAAGCAGTCTTTTCCTTGGGAATTCATGGATGCAGAGGGCTGACTGTATTGTTCTATGCCGTTTTATATAAGGAACTTGAGCATCCTCAGATTTTGGCATCTGCAGCGGGTCCTGAAACCAATCCAATCCCCCTCAATTACCGAGAGAGGACTGTATTTGGTCAAGACATTTACATTTATGTTTAGGAGAGAAATTATTCTGTAGTCGTCTTTTGTTGTAATGTCTTCTCTGGTTTTGAGGCTAGCCTCATAAAAACAGTTAGGAGATGTTCCCTGTTACACTGGCCTTTTTTTTTAACTTCCTGAAATGTTTGATAAAATTCACCGGTGAAGCCATCTGGTCCTGGAGTTTCGTCTGTGGGAATGTATTCCATTTCATATATATATATATATAAATTGTTTTTCTTACTATTTTTTGCCACATTGGTAATTTGTACCTCTTAAAGACTATTCCATTTAATCTAAGTAGTTGAATTTGTTGGCTTTAAATTGTCTTTATTATCCATTTTTTGTCTTTAGGATATGTTTCGCCTTTCATCCTTGGTTTTCATAATTTTTGCCCCTTTTTCTCCTAAGTCTACCTTAATGTTTATCATTTCATTGATTTTTTTTCTGTTATTTTTCAGCTGTCTATTTCATTGGCTTTTGCTCTTTATTTCCTTTTTCCTACTTTATGTTTAATTTATTTTTCATTTTCTGGATTCTTAAAGGTAAAACTTTAGATTTCTGGTATCAGGTTTTTTCCCCTCTAATAAAAATATTTAAAACTATAAATTTCCCTCTATGCATGGCTCTAAATGCACTCCACAAATTTTGATATATTGTATTTTCAGTGTCATTCAATTTAAGAT